ATTTATTTATATATCCTCTATGGTATCCATTAAAGTACAACTGGAAATATAATGAATTTATTATATATCTACTATCTATTATATCTATGAATATAAACTTTAGATAATTTAAAAAGATATAAGAAAATTGTTTCGAAAAGCATTTTTTAATATACAATAAATTGTTATTGTAAATAGTGAACAATTTTAATAATAATGATTGTCGTATATACTTGCAAATTTAGGATCCTATTCTGTAATTCTTAACAACTGGAACGTTATAATCACAAAACAGGTCTCTTATATTAATTATATTTAAATTGTTTACTTCATTATTTCTCCATTGACAAGTGATAAAATGATAAAATGATAAATGTATTTGCTGAATTTTTTAGACTATCATCTATACATTAAACGCGCACGGAAAAAGATAAAATTTTTAATTTTAAATGGTGCAATAAATAAATAAATAAAAATGTACGAGAATAGGTCTAATGCATACCAGAATCAGTCCTGGAAGCAGAAATATTTTACACATAAATTAGTGTTGTAAGAGTATTAATAATATATTTCATCCTACTGTGATCTGTGCAAATTTTAAGATTGCCATTCTTAAAAATAATGTGGTCCAGTTAGGGATCTTCATATTTTGAACTACCCGGAACATAAAATTCTTCTGAAGGGACCGCTTATGCATTTTTAAGAACAGATTAATGTACAATGTGCAAAGTAACATGTATACCGTGCAAAACATACCGCTTCGATCTTGGTAAGTGATGATGCGAGACTTGGATGCAGATACGATTCGTCATCTTGGTCAGACTCTTCCTCTGGTTCTTGAAAGAAAGGATAACAATAAGACTCACGCACATCTCAAGATCATCAAGATGGATTACGCATAGGTTACCAATTATAGAGTATTAACAAAAATTTATGGCAATACTTACGGTAAGAAAAAATTAAGTAGAATCAAAGTAGGTGTGGGTAATCAAATCCTGCTTTATGTTGCTTCAATTACTTCAACTCAACTTCAATATAATTACTATAAGACATTGCTTGTTATAGAAAATGATATGCATACCGGATTCTTCTTTCTCAGGTTGTTTTTCAGGATTATATTTTCCACTCTTGATAGCATCGAGGACATATTTGTAATATTGATGGAGCGGCTCGTCTATCGATAGGAACGCGAATTGAGGATTGTTTGCCTGTTTCGTCTTAATGAGGATTTCCAATTGGCTTCCATGTTGACTTATAAACAGCGCCGTTTTCATTATAATAGCATTCAGTTTCTGTGTTTCCGGCTAAACATTCACAAAGTCAACATATTATGTAATTATATTATCTAATACTCATGAATATAAGAAAATGAATGCAAAGCGACATCTTACTAGGATCATTCCCTCAGGAATTTCCAGTTCAGGCGGCGGCACAAATGCCTGATCTTCCTCTTGCGAGCCCTCCGATTGTTTCGAGCTCTGAGAATCCTCGCCAGAGGCTTTATGACCATTTTCATCTTCGTTATAATTATATCCTACTTGATTGTACGAAGATTCGGAATCCAGTGCTTGATGCAATCTTTTTATCTCCTCTTCTGCAATACAAATTTGTGATTAAATTTTTTTGTAATGTCTAAGAAGAAAGTTAATAAGAAATATAATGAAAATGCTCTTGAAATAAAAGAAGTACGTTACCATGATACATGGATTCCTCTGCATCATTGTTGTAGATGGACCGATACCGCTCCTCGTCACAGAGTTGCTCTACTTTCAGTTCTTCCTCGGTAAGTATTGTCCGTTGATCAAAACCACCTGGTGGTGGCTCGTGAATCCGTAAGTCAGCCAGCGCCCCTCGTCCATCGTACCTATACACATACAATACATCTGTTAGAAGAAGAAGATGATATCGTTTTAGTTGTTTTCATATATAAGTTGGTCACAGCATCTGGAAATGTTAAGTCAAGAAGTAAGTCCCACCAAAGCGATTTTCTGAAATAGAACAGAGCTATAAAGGATGCCTCGAGTAACGTTTCTACCTCTGCTTTTTTCAAAACATCAACATACTACAATAATGTAAACAAATATTTTACATATATATATAATTCTATTTCAAGTAACACAATTATCATTTCTAAATTAGTGTTACATTCAATTACATTTATTTTTAAATTTAGCATACAGATACTCGAATGTAGAGATCTATTACATCTTGTTACATATACATGTTTAAGATCGATAACGAAATAATGGACTCAAGTCTATTGCTTGATGCAAATTAGGACACATTCCACTCGACGCTCCCAAAGCTCATGGAATCATTTCATTCTTGTTGTTTAAGTGTTAAACAAAAACAAATAATACTCACGAGCATTGTGAGCACAAAGTGGAACGCAACTGAACATACACGCGTGTGCATGTATTATAGAGATTGTCGAAAGGAATCCATAACTGTAAGCTTGCGAGTATAAGTAACAATGTCCTGGTGCGCGTCTCCCGAGGCAAAGCCCGAATCTAATGTGCCAATACATACCGTGCTGAACGGTCGTATAAATACCTACAACCGTCAGCCTTTGCCCATTTGTCTCTCAACGCCGTGTCTCACCTTGCTGCTGCACAGGCGGCCAGCCATAAGCGTCACGTCTCACCACAGCACCCGTGCAGAGCGCGTAAATCGCGCTGCCACACTGCGCGTTTTTTTCACAGCCGAGAGAACACCTGCGGAAGCCTTAAACAGTCTCCAGTTTGCTTATCCAGAGATTAACGATGAGAAGGGGGGACCTCGCTTTTTTCGCTTCTAAATGCAGTACTTGGTTTTGATTTATTTTTGTTTTCGAATTTGGTCAGTTTTTTTTTTTTTTTTGCGGTCGAGGTCAGTCGTTACTTTTTTTCGTTACGTTTCGTTGTCGGGGAAACGTAACGGTGCGTGGTCATTTATGGCATGAGAACAAATATCCTAGATGAGAAATTTGTCTAGGTTAGAGAAACGGACCTGTCTATCCTCAACGTGTTATCGCCCATCCATGGTATCAAATGCTTTCCCTGATCAATCATTTTCGCCTTGTCATCATCGCGAAATAATTTGCAGCTATATCCAAACACCAACAGCTCCTGCGGTTCCTCGTCGCTATTCTTTTTACGCAGAATGCCCGAGTCTACCATCCACCGTTGGCTTTTCGAGGACGCCATTTTCCGTTTAAACTACACCGATCCGACATCCGACTGCTTCGAGCCAGTTCGAGCAAAGCTTGGAACAGCTTCGAGTGACTTCGCTTCGAGCTTCGAGTCAATTCGACCGGATGATGACGCCGGGCCGGATGAGTGAACGAGGGGAAGGGATGGTAAGGACGAATGTGCGCGAGGAAAACGCGCGTTACTCCCACTTCCGGGATGCGCACGCACGGAATGCGAGGAACGTTCATGTCCACGAATAAAATGTCCGTCATGTTTAAAATTCGTGATACCGAGGAAATTCGACATACAATTAACGCTTTCAAATTCATTCTTCCTTAAAGATTTAAAATATTTCAATATTAAATAATTTGAACACGCGAGCTATATAAATATTTCTACTGACGATACAATTGCACGAAACCTCAAGTAATTTATACCTTTTTAGTGAAACTTTCCACATTATTGGACCTATTCTTTCCCGCACTACACTGAAAGAAAATATAGTAAATTTTAGTAAACGTTTGTTTGAATAATATTTGATTCAAATTAATTAAAATAATATTAATATATTTGATTTAAATTAATAAATATTGAAATAATATTAATATTTGATTTAAATCAATTTGATTCAACGACCAGTAAACATTTATTTACCATCTGTAAATAATAAGTTAGGTATTGGTGATTCAAACAAATATTTGTTAAAATTTAGAACATTTTTCTCAGTGTAGACTGCACTAGAACTCCCTTTCTCGCTTTAACTAAACATCAAACATATACTCATTTTATTTTAAGTTTTAAAAGTGTATTTCTATTTTATAATTTATTATAAATACTTTTTTCTACCGCGAAAAAGGACGCAATCGTTATCGAGACGGTCGATTCGATTCAAATCGACCGCCACGGCGTTGGCGTTGAGCGGCCGGGAGGGGGCGCCCCGATCGCTGCTGAGTTGCCGATGATCGCGCGCTTATTTATCATACATCGCGTGGCATTTCGTTACGGGCGACTTTTATCAGCGATAAACGGCGTATTTCGCGCCCGCGGATCGTTATACACAACGGCGTGCGCGTCCGCCGGCAATTGGCCGCGCGGTAACACCGCGTACCGCCCTCTTAGTACGTTATGGAATGCGCGACGGACTGCTACCGTGTTACGCGGCTCCGCACGATGCCCGGCCGTAGAGGCACGCCAACGGACCGGAATACGTACGTGCGACGCGGCCGCGGCTACGACGCCTCACCGCCTGACACTGGACACGGTACGTGGTCCTGCCATCGACCATCGTGCACCCTTCGACCGTTTGTCGATCACGAGAGGCCCCGTGTCATTTCTCGCCGCCGCCGTCGCCGTCGGTAGCATAACGTATACGTGGCAACAGGGCAAGTGTGGCCGCTGTGCCGTGCGAGCGCTGTGTGCTCCGTGGGTGTCACTTCCTAGTCCGCGAGGGATCCCGTGGTGTACGTTCGCCACCGATTCGTGGGGGACCCCGCAATTTGAGATTGTGTACCCCGCGTAACGTACGCCGCGTCTCGGAACGGGGATCATCAGCCCCGTGTCCAACGTGACGCGCGACGGGGACGGGGACGGGGAGACGAGAACGGGAACGCGAAGCGACGCGACGCCGCGGATCCCCGTGTGTGATCGGAACTTCCTCGGGGGTGTGCTCAACACCTCGGACACCCGTCGATAGCGGAACGTCTGCGTCGTCGACCCGGTGTTACGTTCGTCCCGTTGCGCGCGCGATCTGCCATTGAAGACTCTTATCTTGGAACGAGCGAATTCTTGGATCTTGAAGAATCGGGGGAGTTTAGCGTCGTCGAGCACGTTGCCGAAGGATATTGAGCTGCCGTTCGCAACGTCTTTTAGCGAGCCAGGGAGCGGTCCTTTCTCAGCGAAGATAGCGTGGTGGGAATTTATAATGGTGTAAGTTGGTCTGTTGCCTACTAGCTTCTGGTGTTACACATAAGTCATCGTCTACCGCGCTTCTGCCGTGTTGCCTGGTATCCAAGGTGACTTTGCGTTTGTACAAAGAAGTGCGCGTACATTTTCAAGCTCACAAGGCAATAATAAAGCAGGATAATTGTATGAAAAAGAAATAGAAAAATGTTCAAAGGAATTTGAAGGAATTAAAAGTGCCCAAGTGTATAATCATTTGGTAATACTGCAGGGGTGTAGGTAATAAATCTCAATTATTTCATTTTTCTTTTCAGAATGTCAATCTTATATAAGCGTTTGTATGACTTTCTTCACAAAAGTTCCATAAAAAATGAATGTATGTTTAGGTTTAGAATTTACATAATAGCAATATTTAGGCTGCGTTTCAAAATTCATGCCAGTAGTAGAAAACTATATAGTGAATGTAACGTAAACTGTAGACTTTCAGCACTGGCAATGGATTTTGGAACAGCCTTAACCAGTGAATTTTAATTAGTCATTAATCGTAAGGTATGAAATCCATACTATGGATATATGAGGTTAAGAGAAACTGTAAACCGAGTTCTATCTTGGTATGTAAGTTAAAGAAATTGGCTGCATTCAGTAGAAAAAGCAGCTTTGCAACTGTTGCAAAATTCTTTAATATGATTGGTCTTATTTTCTCATTGGCTCTAAATATATAAACCAATCACATTGAAAAATCTAATAACAATTGCAAAGCTGCTTTTTTTTGCTGAATTAGTCATTGTAAACCAAGTTCTAACTTGAGCTAAAGTAATAAATTTTATTCTATTTGCAACAGGTATTCCCGATGGGTTAGCTGACTACAATGGCTAACTACAATGGACTGACGCAGAATACGATCTACTTGATATTTGGATGCTTTCTTTGCGGCATCACTTGCATAAAAGAATTAGCTTGACGAGAGTTGATGGTGCACCCTGTCGCTGTTGTCCTCCAGTCAACGTAATGGAGAAGGCGATTAAGAAGAAGCAGCGCATCGAGATTAGCGCAGGTAGCAAACACTTGCTTGCCGATATCGAGGAGCTGCAGAGGAACCTGCTTACTCGATGCTTATGCAATATGCCGGAGAGCAGTTTGCGCAAGCCATTCACCAGCTTCACAGTGCAGGAGACTGACGGTAGGGTCCGTTATGCTGTTCTGTCTGATTGGGACACGGTTCAAATTCTGGAGTATCTTAGCGCCCTGCAGCTGTTGTTCGAGCTGGCCATCAAGCAGAACGCGAAGAATGTTATGTGCAGACGAGTAGTAGACGTCTGTGACGCAGTGGCGCGGAACGAGCATGGTATTATCGATCAGATTATCGACCTGTCTTACACGACCAATAAATTCGTGTCGTACGCAGCAAGTCGCGTGATCGCATCGTTCTTCATCGTCACGAGAGATGTAGAAACCGTCTGGCTGGAGAAACTCACGCAGTCCCTAGTTAATACGCATTCGCCCCAACAGATGCTGTTCACCCTGGATGCGGTCAAGAGAGTGGTCGAACATAAAGATGGTAGTATACATCCAGAGGATGGAGACACATATGTGCCACCACTCGGTTGCAATACCTTCGTTATCACCGACTTTGACAGTACAACGATCAAAGCAATGTGCGTGAAGGCGCTCGAATCTAAGTGGACCATTCTTGTGACCAAGTTCAATCACATTCTCGGGTCGTACACGCCGCAATACGCATCCGTTATCATCACATTTCTACATTTGTGGGAGACCATTATTTCGGTCAAAGCCAATCTTTCTGTCATCGACACCAAGACATTTTACTCGCAGCTGAATAATCTTGTGCTGTTATTAAATGCTAATGTGCCAGGCGTAATCTGGCGACATTTGCTTAGACTTTTCAACGAGGTATTGTGCTACGGTAGTACTCTAGCACTACAAGACGTACTACCAGACGAACCGTGCTCTCTAGCGCACCTGATCGTGCGCGCCGTCAAGGATTGGCGTCTGCTCGATGCGTTGCCATACCGTCACGGTTCTGGTAGGTTTGGCGGTGGTACTAGCGAGGGTGATCGTCCTCTGCTGCAGAAAATGGTGCTGTTAGTGTTGAAAAGCGTCGCTGTGACAGTACGGGAAACGCGCAGCGATTCCAGCGACTCCAGCAACTCGACCCTCAGTACTGAAGTCGAGGATCTTGATGAAGACATGGCGGTGATTGAAAGGAGTATTCGCGAGGTACTACGTCAGCTGGATCAGTGCGTAAAGGCGTTGATGCCCTTCCATCCGGAGATGCCGCTGTCGCAATGGGTCGTCCAGATGTTTCATGACCAGGATGATTTCCTTATAGAGGGTATGGTCTGCTGTCTGGATGTTGCCATGGGCTTATTCTATCGCGGTCCACCACAGAATGATCTGGGCCAGATGCTCAGCCCTACGTTGACTTTTGTGCAATTCATCCGCGCCGTGTCGCACGATCCGGGCGTTCTGCTGGATCTGCTTGTCAGTAACGAGACTTGCTTTCTGCTGTATCTCTTGCGATTTCTCAAGTACATTAAACGTAATTGGATTGAGTTCGTCACGTGTTGCGGCCGTGAGCTAGACAACACCATGACTGTATTGATAAGACTACGACTGTCCATTGATCGGCTGGTATCCAAGAATCTGTTCCCTTATAATATTATTCCGGTTCTTCGTCTACTCGAGAAATGCGAATCTTTTTACGAAGGTAACGTGGAGAATGGATAACAATCTCATGTAACATAAAGATGTTTGGAGATTCGAATCGCCACCAAGTCGACTGAGTGTGTACATTGTATGAACAGAAGGAAGTATTCTCCGATCTTAGCTTGGAATATTTATCTAGGCTCGAAGAATGTTTCCGTTCATACAGTTCCGTTCACACTAGATTTTGCCATCTGTAAAATATCATGTGTAGTGTACAGATTGCCGCATACCGTCCCGTAAACGTGAAACGGCCGGACTGACTCGCCGATTCGTTTTCTTGAGTTTTTCGAGCATCAATGTCGAAGACATGTCTTAATGCTCAAAAAACTCAGGAAGACAAATGCGTTTCTTATTTATTAGTCTTTAGCGAAATTTTTCAATATAGCTGGAATTGCAAGATGGAAGAACTTCCGTCTATTTATGAATTAGCGGAGTGTTGAGGATTATTCAACGTGATCAAGTCGGAGACAAAAAAAAAGAATGAAATTCGTTGATTAAGTCTCAGAAACTTCGTTTGTGTGTTTTACAGAAATCTAATACTGGACAATTTAATGTTGGAAGTTACTTATTTTAAAAGCACTAAACAGTTCTAGTCAGCCAAGTCTGTTGAAAACAAATTTATTAAATACTACAAATTTTGTTGACAAAAAGTACTAAATTTGATGCAAATTCTATTACATTCAATGAATATTAGCAAATCGACAGATATACAATAAAATCCACTGACAAAATATGAGAATAAATTGTTGTGTAAAACTTGTTGACAATCTGCAAATTGATAGCAAAAACCAATCAAGACTGACTAAAGGTTTGCTTGGTTCTTGCTGATTAAATCTTGCTATCACAATAGCAAACTTTATCAGCAAAATATAGGCTTAAGATGTTAATTTGCCGAATATTTTGATTGAACTTAGCCAATAATTTGTAAACAAATTGTTATTTTGCTGACTCGCAGTGTTTTTAATACTCAAGATAAGTAATTAATCATTACTTTCCACTACTAAATTTCTGTAAGGAATGGTGCTAATAAATTATAGTTTCTGACACCATTGAAAACATACATATTGATGTATACCACTAGTGTAATATTTATATGTATACTTCGAGAGCTATTTGTACAATTTCCAGTCACACTTGTAAATGTAATTTTATTGTATTTTGATAAAATACCTGAGAAATCTGTACATATCTCACAAATATCAGAGCCGACTTTGTACTAAATTTTGTTGGACGAAGTTACATAATCTTCCAATAATTCTGAAGGAAACTAAAGAAGAAAATTTTTGTTATATTATAGTCTCACATAAATTATAATGCAGCAAGTAGAAAAGATATAATACATAGAAAATTATGTTGTCATCAGATCTGGTCTCGTACAGCTTAAATAAAAACGGATATTTTATAGTCTCAGATTCCTAATTTACGAGCAAAGAGAAATAACGTAAAATATAATTTGCAAATGTCAATATTATGAAGAATACTTCTAATTAGCATTTTTGTATTATTTCGTACTCTATTACGCACAAAAAATTAAATCTCTTTAATACGATATTTAAAATTTAAGTGGAAGAAAAAACACGACAGTTATTCGCAGTTGTTTCGAGATTTCTGATAAAACGTAATTGTAAATAGTGACATTAACAACGCTATACAGGTGTGCTACGTATTCAACATAAGATTTCCTTCTGTAAGTAATGTAATACACTAAAATTCTCACATTTTTACTTTTATAATTATGGTGTCGTTTAATTCAATCTCCCCCTGTGATTAAGGTACGGTTTAGCTAGAATCGTTATCTTAATTTTACAACGCAGATTCCATGTTTTTGCGGAAAGATCAGATTCGATTGCAGCTGGAAGATATTTCTTTTTTTCAATCAAATATTTATTATCTTTCCCAAACGCAAGTCAAATACAATTGCCATTATCGAAACTTACTATTATAATGCGTAGCCCGGCAGATTGTCGTGATGTCCCACGATTAACTCTTTGTGTCACAATCGTTTTTTTTTTAATTTTGTATCCGAGGATTTTTCAGATTACTGATTACGAATAAAAAAAGTCAGAATTTTAAACTTCAAAATGACCAATCCAATATCGTGGATTAATAATTAATATCATTTTTAGTAAAATATTTAATATTTTATTATTTATAAAATTAAATATTTAATAAAAAAAATGTTAATAATAACCTCAGATTCAGATATAGCGACCAAATACCCCTAGAAACTAAGTTTCAAAATAATAAGAGTTTCTTCGTTCTTGGTTCAGTATACTGATTCTGCAATTTTGGATTTTAAAATTTATAAATTTTGACCTTGAATTAGAATTCAGTGATCCAAAAAATCGCTAGAACGCCATTATAAAAGATATTCAAATTATTTATTTGGATTTACAGTAAGACATCAATTTTTCCATATTTTTTAAAAAGAATATTAATTTATAATAAAAAAAACGACGTTGGAAAAATCTTAAAATGTTCTGAAAAATACTTTAAAACGTCCTAAAGGAATATCTAAATTATCATTTTGATAATAGATTTTGATACTGATAATAGATGTAGTAGAAAATACTTTTTTTTTTTAAGTACAACTTTAGACTTAATTTAACTTTAGACTTAGAATTTAATTACACTAATTACACAAATACAAATTTATAGTTGTACTTTTTTTTAACACTTAATATTCTATGAAAGGATTCTATGAAAATAGAAAACCAGTATTAAAATCTAGAAATTCATCAAAATAATTAAAAACTGAATGAAAGAAGACGAAATTCTTAGAGTATCGTTATAACACAAAGGGTTAATCGCGCAAATAATGTTCGATACATTGATTAGAGCGATGTAACGCGCTTATCTCATCGGGACAAACTGTCCGGATCTCCTTTTTGTTTCTCTTTCTTTTTTTACTTTAGAAAGATCCATATATAGAATTAAGTTTATAACGTTAGCCTTCCTTGGCTTATTTTTTTTTATAAAATTTACGCTACTCTATTTAGAATTTGCAAATATAGTTCTAATTTAAATTAACATTCGATCAGAGCGCGATCGAGGAATTTTGTGTCGAGATGGATAGCTTCCAGAAACACAAAAAATTTCTTACTAAATATTTATATTTGTGTATTAAATCATTATTTATATACCTCTGTACTTCGTCAATAAATCACTATTTCACAGCATCATTTTCCCATTTTAAAATGAAAACTTAGCGGTATCGTATATTAAGTTTTTTCCCCCTCTTTTCATAAATTAAACATTTAATTGCATTCTTTCCCTTTTTTTCTCTCTTCGATTCAAAATGTTACTTTGCTTCAAGTAAAACTATTTATCGCATATTATACATCGACGTACGAAACTACGCAAGACTGTACATACCTCCGTATAGTTTTTAACAGAACGGTAAATGTCCACTGCTTTACTGTAACTGCAGCAAGAGTTAGTTCAACAAGCTTCACTAAATTAACAATAAAATCTAAGTTATATAGCCCATTATTTAGCGTGTAGTGTTCAACAGTGTGGATCATTTATCGCGTTTTATATTTCTCTTTCTTCTTAATTTACTGTTTTGTTTGCTTTTTTATTCGTTGCTATACATGTTCCCTATCTGTAGGTATAATAAACCGCTAATCGTTCGTAGCATACAATGAAACATTCTCTCTCTGTACACGTTATCTAAATGAAACATGTTCAATGTTCGTCGCGGCAGAAGCGATTCAAGCGATTTACGTAACGACATATGCGCGAGGCATCAAGAAAAATTAAAACGTTGCGAGTACCATTAGAGACAGTCTTCCTTTTGTCACGAAAAAATATAACAGACTGTCGCGTAAGTCCCGACAGTTTTAGACGAGAAGAAAACCGCCAGTCTCTGCACGTGTTTACTGCACGTGTAAGCTGCATACTAAAACAAATCCTACCTCGTAAAAGCTTAAAATAAAAATTATCCGCTATTTTATCCAATAATAGGTACGTTATGTTCGGATTCAAGGGGGCAACTAAAAACAATTATGCAAGAGCAGAGAAGGAAAACATAATTTGCGTCAGCTCATCAAACATTCGCACAAGAACTTACATGAGAATCGTTACACAAAGCCGAGATATACAAACGACATAATAAAATTTCCGCACGTATCGTACTTATTATCTCATTACTACGCATACATACACACACACACACACACACACACACACACACACACACACACACACACACACACACACACACACACACATATATATATACTTATTGTTTCGACTATACCAATCGGTGCACACGAGGCTTACTCAACGTTTTATTGCACTTTTACATCGAGCCACCTCTTCATCTTCTTTTTTTAATTGAAAAATCAATACAAGCAATTAAAATTCACTACGAAAAAGGATTTCGGGATCGTGATGTGTTTACTAGGATTTAATTAAAATCAAGTCTCGTTCTCCTTCTCATAGGAAATGATCTAAAAACAAACAATATTTGCGGATTTATAGGGAAGGTGTGTTCTTTGTGGTAGAGATTATTATATTAAACAGCACGCGCGCGCATGTATATATCGTGTATAACTGCGAAATACAATCGGATCATTAACACGTGATCTCTCTACTACTCAGAAGCCTTTATACGTTCTATAGCAAAAGTAGCAACTTTCTCTATTTTTCTCGCTCCCACTTCAGTTGCGCTTCATGTTTAGCCTGGTAATTTAATCGCGATTTGCCGTTCGGCTAAACCGATGAAAATTCCCGTCACTCTTGTATTAAGTAGTCGGATGATATGAGCTAATTAGCGCCGCGTCCACCGGCTCCATACATGACGGACATGTCAGCGAGCGCAGCAACCAGTCGTCGATGCAGATCGCGTGGTAGGTGTGCATGCAGGGTAAATAGCGCACTTCTTCGCCTGCCTGCAGCTCCATCATGCATATCACGCATTCGCCCTTCTTAGCACCGTCGTACGCTCGCATCGGCAAATGCTGTATCAGTCCTATACGTTTCGCAATTCTCACTTGTTGTTCCTCTTCGCTCAAACCGGCAGAGCCAGTACTCTGTACCAAATTGACTCCGATCCCGCGACCAATATTTAAGTTGGTAGATTGTAAGTGACGTTCCCTCGTAGCGATCGACGGATAATAAGCTGCTTGCTGTAGAATATTAAAAAATGAATTAATATTCAACCACAACATTTTTCCACATATTACTTGTAGATCCTTAGAACTTGTAAAAGTATAGAAGTTATATAACAAAATATACATATACTTTCATTGTCAAAGTTGAGTGGGAGTGTTTATGCCACTGCATTTACTTTATATACAGCAGCATTAAATGTACACTAATCCAGTGTAAGTCACTTTATTAGTTATAGTATTTAAAATCAGGTCTATTTGGCTGATATTCGTAATTCATTCTTATATTTGAGACTGTCTTAAATACAGTTTTAAGATGTCATAAGCCAATCAATGACTGCGATCAGTGTACTCAACTGTTGAGTCCACTAAATGCAGCCTATGGCTGATATTTCATAGTTGATTTTTATTTTAAGACCATCTTAAATAATATCTTAACATGTTAATACACCCACCTCTTCTGACTGGTTCACAACATGTTAAGACTGTACTTAAGACAGTCTTTGATATAGTATGAACATACTGGCCAGACACATCTGCATTAATATTTTATAATATTATTTCAGATGGTCTTAAAATAAGAACTAACTGTAAATACTGATTTATAAGGCTGCATTAGCGTCTTAAGACATTACTTAAGAGTACAGTTTTAAAATAAGTATGAACTATGAATATCGCCTTATATATATATATATATACAAATAAAGAAGAAATGACAAAGGAAAAATACCACATAAACAAATCAGAGAAAAGATATATTCAAGAAGACAATATTATCACTACTTGTATCATTCTATCTTTATTTTATGTTTAATAAAGGATAAATGTTATATATTATATTTATAAAAGGATAAATATAGAATGATACCAAGAAAGCCAATAACATCTTCTCAAATACACTCAAAGATTATAAAATATTTCGGTTAAAATAAAACAAACAACAAGGATGATAAGACAGTAACAACAATAAGACAGTAACGGCGATGTACGTGAATTACGTTGTAGGGGATTGGTGGTCCAAGGCCCTCCTGCGAAGATCCGCTCGTGGACACATTGGGTTCGGGATTATTGCTCAGGAGAGTGGTATTGTCCTGTTGGTTGCCAGTGGCGCGTTTCAAGCAGTTGCCCATGGTTCTCTTTTTCTCTCTCTTTTTCTGTTTCTCTCTCTCTCTCTCTCTCTCTCTTTCTCTCTCACTGGCGACGAGCTGTCAGCTTTGCAGATCGCTCACACGTCGCATTCGCACGTCTACTCCAGATTGCGATCCCGCTCTCTCGTTCCGCGCGAACGATTATTATAGGCTTCCGTGGAGACACGGTGACGACGGCGACAGCGCGACAGCGATTTTTGACGCACATTCGACGACCGTGCTGCTTGCCATTTCACCTGTATGGCCGTTCGTCGCGGCACGACAACGTTCACCGATGACTTGTCGCAAGAAGCAGCACGGATGACACTCGGCAAACGCGATCGAAGTGTAACGATGCCGTCGCAATAGCCGTTACATACCCCCGACTGATTACTGATCAGCAGCAGCAGACTCACTACTTACTACCAGCTGAGCGTCGCCATGATGCGCGGAACATAGCAGGCGATTCGTCTCATTCGTCTGCGCATCATTATGGCAACGGAAGTTGGTCGATTTCAACGCATCACTCTCGTGACGATTTCCTCGATTTTATCTCGGCTTTATGCGCAGATTGAATTAAATGATTCCTTAGTTATCCCTCTCTCTCTCTCTCTCTCTCTCTCTCTCTCCCCCACCTCCTCTCGAACTTTCTGTCCATGATGGAAGTAATAAGGTATGCTATTGCACTTTTGCTGGCCAATGAGAGAGCATGATTGAACTCAGCCATCTTGGGAAATTTAAACGCACATAATAAGAGATTTTTGCAAAAAAGATTGCAAAAAAGGTGAAATGATAACTACGATCACCGACGAGATACTATTAAAGACTGTCAATCCTGGGCAAATTTTCGGCGGTATAAAAAGGGCCCGGAGGTAATTGAAGAATGCTGAAATTATTGACAATTAATATATATTTGCTATTATTAACATAAATATTTGGCTCATATATTATTAAATTCA